TTCCAAATGAGCATATATATGAGCACTATTCAAGCCTAAATTTTGTTTTCAAGCGTGGTGTGAAACCATTAATCATATAAAAAAGGCAACATTGATATTTTCAAACACTATAAGGTTCAACAGAGACAAAGCTGACATGCTGCGAGCGATTGGAGGAGGAGCATGAGGAGTGCAAAAAATGCTATTTCTGCAGCCCAAAGTGGAAGAATGTCTCAGCGTCTGCAGGGGAAGGAGGAAAAAGAATTAAAGATTGGGTAAGAAAATAAAAGTGACGTCTACGGAGTGGGTGGCTACCACTTTCTACAAGTTGCTGTTCAGTGCCCTGAAGGAACTGAAGAACACCCCTGAAAACCTGGGTGTTGTGATGGGAAAGGAAGAGCAGGTATTTCTGGGCAGCTGCGGGTAGCAGGTGAACAAATGAAAAACCATGGAGAACCACTCATGGAATGCTCTTGTTGATTCAGTGGTGGCAAAGGTCGCCAAATGGTTATACTTTATACAGCGAAGCATGAGACAGGCACCTGCATGTTTACAATCAACGGTGTATTTAGCATGCATTCACAGTATGCTTGAATGTGCTTGTTCCGTTTGAGATCCTTTGTCATATGTCTTTAAGTGACAAACATGAAAAACTACAGAACAGTGCGTCAAGGTTTGTCGTAAGCCATTTCTCACAAATGACAGTTGTAATAAAATAAAAATTAACTAGGATGGAAATTACTATCATCACATCGAAATAAACTGCAATTAAAGCTCCAATGTCAAAGATTTCATGCGAAACTCGCATTCGAAAGTTAATGTACCTAAACAGTCCTTTTTGCGCAATGGTAATCAAGATTTTAGAATGTCGTATCAGATAGAATTTTTCCAATAATTCGGTTATTGTTAGTTTCATGACAGAATGAATTTCTTATAAAGAGAACAAAGTGTGTTGTGTCAATGAAGGCGTGTTTTCTTTGACATTGTAACCCATCTGCTGCAGTGCCTTCAGGTGAAAAATGTGATTTGCACGCGGCTTTTGTTTTGTTTGTAATTTACTTTTTAAGCGTCTCTCTCTAGGTGACATAATAAGTTGTATTTGGACATCAGAAATTCTAGCGTGCCCTATAAAAAATATTCTACCATGGTGATTTTTCATTTGCTCCGAGCTACCAAAGCGTGATGCAAAGTGAGCAAGCTTGAATCTCTTGCCTCTCGTCTCATGTAGCCATCGTGAGCCTTATTCCTTCCCTGTTTTCTTCGGTATCAGGGCTGGAGAATTATATGATGCATACACACCAAGAACAACATGCGTCAGCAAGGTCACGCACGCCTGACGCGCCCCAGCCTACTTGTGCACGTGCGCCATCGATGTTGTGTCATTTAGGCATTGTTCTTTGTGTATTACCAGTTTTTGTGGGAGGATCAGTCAGTGCGTGTACTTTAGGAGAGGCTGGCAAGGATCATGTATAGTGACTGCGATACAGCACGTCACTCCGCTGAAACTGCGGTCAGAGACGACGCACCAAACACAAGCTAAGCGTTGTCAAAGTTGACGAAGGCGCAATGCACGAATGGCGAGAAGACGAACACAAGTGGAATGGGTAGTAGTAGTAGTAATAGTAGTAGTAGTAGTATTAGTTGTTTTTGTTGTTGTTGTTGTTGTATATAGTACGGTATTTACTCGTGTAATGATGGCACTCGCGTAATTATCACACCCCTAAATTTTGTCATCTATATTCGATTTTTTTTCCCCGCGTAATGATCGCACCCCGAACTTGCTGCATCGGTATGTCATGTGCCAAGTCTAGCCGATGATCATCGCCTTTATTATCTGTCGAATAAAGCTTCAAACATATTCTTACTTTTTGTCCACCGTTGGCGGAAACGTGCCATTTAGGATTGCAGTAAGTGCAAATGCCGCAGTTTTCACTGAATGCCCGCCTTGTGTTTTTATGTCTGTGGCAGCTGAACGCACCCATCATTGTTTCTGTGGTCTGAAAGCAGGCAACACTATGCTAATGCTGTAAATTTACTGATTTAAATGAAAGCATTCTTTATGCAGATAGAAGAAGCTGTTCTGACGCGCGTGACGTACTCACAATCTCCATAACTGACGAAAAGAAGAGAAAATGCGGTCGCTTCGCTCCGTCAGCCACCATGTTTGTTTTGACATGCTGCACTGTTACAGGGGCGGCCGCCTGTTCGTCGACCGGTGTTCATCCAGCAGCAATGTTTTTTTTTCCCCACACCACATTTTTTTTTTTGGTGTGCTTTGTGATCGTCTGTTGAAGCGCCGTTTCACCATGGGGCGATATGCGAGCATTACTGCCACGTTTAAGCTGAAGACACTTGACTACGCGCTAGAGCACGGCAACCGCGCTGCCGGCAGACATTTCAGCGTCGACAAAATTTTAATCCGATATTGGAAAAAACAGCGCGACAAGCATACGGCTTTCAGCACGCGACAGGCTTTCTGCGGACCCAAATTTGGCAAGTTGCCTGACATTGAAAAGGCAGACCTCGAATACGTTAAATTTACCCCGCGTAATGATCGCATCCCGAAGTTGGAGTCAATTTTTTGAGAAAAAAAAGTGCGATCATTATGCGAGTATATACGGTAGTAGTAACAGTGGTAGTATGTGTAGTTTTATGTAAAAAAAAACACAATATGCATACAAGGGACGCCGCAGTAGAGGTCTCCGCAAATTTTGTTAAAAAACACCGCAAACTGGTGTTATTTAACGTGCACTGACATTGCACAGTACACGGGCATCTACTTTTTCGCCCCCATCTGGATGTGACCGCCGCGGCCACAATCGAACCCGTGGCATTCGGGTCAGCACCGGAGTACCCTATAGCGACTGGTCCACTTAGGTGGACGCTAAACGAGGGTCGGTTAGTGAATAGCATCTCGAAGCTATGCAAAATAAAAATAAAAATAATAATGAGCTGAGATTCCATTTGCACGTTTTATTATTTTTTTCTCAGCATTCATTCATTATACTGATTTTGAAAGGGCAGTGCAAAAACACAAGGAAAAAGAAAGACATAGAAACAAAGAGTGCTGTTTTTCTTTTTTCTTTGTCTTTACGCTTCCTTTTTAAAAATGATATGAAGCAGCTAGCCCAAATCAAAGTATTCCTCAATAGTGCTACACAACAGAACACACAAATTGCACATGTCAAGTAGAGTAAAGTCACATACAACACTCTTAATGAGGTACCGTTTAAAATGCAGGATATAATCAGCAGACGGAACATTTTTCGTCTGTTTTTATAGATACAACTAGCATTTACCAAAGTTCTGATGAAGAGCGTACAGTATGTGATGTGAGCCCACCAAGGTAAACGTAAAGGAGTGACGTAAAAACAGGACCAATCTTTGCTGTACGTCACTCCCTAGATCTTGGGGCGTAGGCGCACGAGAAGGGCAAGTGGCATTTATTAGAAGTTGAGTGTTTTCCCGCGACATGTAATTTTGCAAATCTTAACAGGAATAATCCCGAGGGCCCTGTGCATCATTACTCTTGTCCGCTCAAAGTGCCAAACGTAGTGAGGAGCCTTGTAAAGTGTTCACCGATAGGGGAGAAATTGGTCCTACGCAATTACACCTAGCATCCCTCTCTTCTGGGGTGTCAGTGGTCTGGTTATTTCATTTGCTCCTGCGCTGTTCTTTCCAGCCACAACGAAAAAGAGACCCATGAGAGTCTTAATTGAATGGTGGACACTTGATGCACAATGCTAGACAATGAAACGAAAAACCATATACTGTGAATCGCACGGAAAAGGCATACCTATGGTCAATCATTGGTACCTTTCTGCTGTCCTAAATATCATTTTTTTGCTTCTTGCAAAAAAATGATATTTTGTTTTGGGATCTTCAATTTTTGTGAAAATTTATTGTGCCTCTAGAGGGCCCAAAATGGTGTTTTACCTGCCTGTCTTTGGCGCCTAAAACACATTTTATTAGTGTCTGAAAATCCGGCCTCTAATGATGAGCAAGGCGAAGCATCCATCAATCCCTCCGCGCTTCTGTCTATTCCTGCGACCGTCTGTGCATCCCTCCGTGTGTTAATCCCTGTGCTCGTTCGTCAGTGCTAAATTCGTCCGTCCGTTCGTGCATCCGTCTGTTTGTGCATGTGTGCATCTGTCTCTGTGTTCGTTCCTTCGTGCGTCCATTCTTCCGTCCATCTAGTGAACACTCCAAGTACCGCCATCTCGCATCTTTTCATCCTATATTCATCATATAGAACTGCCACCATCCAGCGGACATTCCAAAGACTAATCTGGAGGCTACCTAATACTACGACGACTACTATACTACTACTACAACTACTACTACTACTACCACCACCACTAATACTACTATATACATCGCCAACACATGACCCATGGCTTAAGGAGCTTCGACCTCCCAAAAAAAACTATGCGCATGCTAGAATCTGGTGCACTCTGCTTATTGCTGCGGTTTCTACCGCCGCCGGAATCCACACTGAATGCACTCTCTCTCGGTAGCCGGACGCGCGAGGCAATATTCGTTGGTTTTGCTGGGGAGTGTGGCGATTGGGATGGCCGGAGGCAGTCCTCTTGGAGGCTATGCCTGCACTCTATGGAGTGGCGCGCACTACAAATGGTGCAACAGTTGCATACTCCGCTAGAAATGCCACGGTAGTTCTGCGGTGTAAAATGACGGAGTCTGCGCACATCATTCTCACCTGCACTATGCCACGATGAGCACTAGTGTCAACGCCGTCGCCAGTGTCAGCGTTAGCGCCACCGCAAGCTTTTAATAAAGTGCACCATCTAGCGCTCAAGCGAATCATGTACCCGCTGCTTCGCCTCCGCACATGGTTTTTTTCGGCGGGACATTGTGTGACTTTTCAATTCTTCAAAGGCCAGCCCCATTGTAGGACATCCTCGAGTTGGTCATCGTTTATTGAGGTTAATTTACGGTGGAGTTGTTTGAGAGCTATTGTAGCGAATCTGGCAAGAATGCAAGCGCTGTTTTCTTTTTTGCAGGGTTACCTTGTCCACGCCAGATGCCTTCTTCTCGGTCTTGGAATCAGAGTCTCGAAACCTGTGCCGCTGGTCGGGCGAATTGTTCTTGGAGCTTCACAATGCAACGTACACCACGCACGCTCGTACCAAGCAGCTTAACCGAATGTGTGAAGAGGCACTGAGAGATGCTGAGATGATCTATTCGGTGGTATTGGCACTTGCACAATACGTGGCACCTTATCCTTGTGGAGAATTTGAAGGCTGCTGGAAGGACGTGCTTGTCAACCAGTTTCACGATGTCCTCCCAGGAACCTGCATTGCCCAGGCACGAGAAGATGCCCAAGCAATCAACTGTCAAGTGCTGAACCGCGTGAGACAGTTAAGCGACGAAGCTTTGGAGAAGCTTTTCGGTGAGTATTCGTATATGTATGCAGTAGTATTCGTGTCTGTATTTTCTATTCACCCTGTGCACGGAAGAAGAAAAGCTCAGGAGACGCCCGGGCAGCAGAGCGAAAAGTGTGACGGAAGTCACGTGCTTTGGCAGGGGCTTGTGGGATTCTCAGGTCGCGCCGGCGTTTTGCGCCATCTGCATCACCACCTATATGATCGTGTTGTTGAGAGTTGGCTACAGTTCCAAATGCGCATTTTATGCAGCTGCTGCATTTCAAAAAGTATCCAATGTGTTAAAGGCCTACAATGAGTGTTGGACTTCAAGGTTGCGAGTTCATATCGCTTGCGGTCGCAATCGTTTCTTAAATTATGGTTAGCGCCAAAGCTTCACTGTTTACTTTCGGCACTCCGTGCCTCAGTGATCAAAGGCTAGAATTCCAAGACAAGAACAGCGGCTCCTAATGTGAGAGGCGATGGTGACCATTTTCTATGTACGACTATCACAGCTATTGGGAAGCCCAGTATGCTCACCCGAGCTTTCACAGTCAAGTATTACAGACGCAGCTGTCCTAATAGTGTTTCACGTAATAAGGCGATTCGTTGTTTTCATGATCACATCCTGTTTAGCTTTCGCGCATGGTAACTTCATCTTTGGCCAAGTTTGCTTCGATATGATCGCAGTCAGCCGACCCGCATTGCTGCTAATGATACTCATGCGAAAGCATCTTGAAACACACGGGCAAAAGATGATTTGGAAGCGCTTCATCCTCCTAAACAACAAAACCAAATAAGATGTCACTGTTCATTATGTTTCGTGCCCCTGAACTTACCTTATATGCAGAAGGAAACAGCCTGCTCGAGGTGAATAGCCGGCCAATTTGCACCCTTGCTCTCGCATTAAGTGGAAAGACACCAAGTTCAAAGTGGCATGTTTTTGTTGATGTACAGTATGGGCCTTAATGAAGCTGTGAGTGACCCGCATGCCCCGCCGCGGTGGTCTAGTGGCTAAGGTACTCGGCTGCTGACCCGCACGTCGCGGGATCGAATCCCGGCTGCAGCGGCTGCATTTCCGATGGAGGCGGAAATGTTGTAGGCCCGTGTGCTCAGATTTGGGTGCACGTTAAAGAACCCTAGGTGGTCAAAATTTCTGGAGCCCTCCACTACGGCGTCTCTCATAATCATATGGTGGTTTTGGGACGTTGAACCCCACAAATTAATCGAGTGACCCGCAGTTACTCTACAAGCGAGTATTGCAGTGCATTTGCTTATAATAGGAACAAAAGTTTCGCTTTTTCAGCTGGCCTATCAACTGGGCTGCCGCTGACATCGGTGCGTCCAACCTCAGCTTGGGCCTCTAAAACAGGGCACTCATATTAAAAAGAGAATTATAAATCTTATATTTTCCCACTACATAAAACTCAAACCAATAATTATGGTATCTGTCATGTAAAACATAAAATGCATAAAATTTCCGCAAAATCATTACCTTATGAGTGTTACCTGAATACTAATATCTGGTAAAATACATGAAACACAAAACGGTTGTAGAAAAAGAAGTAGTCTAATAAAGGCTCGTAAACAAAAGAAGATGACAGTGAAGTTCGAATTCTGTTCTGTGCAAAAAATTGCTGCGAGAAAGCTGAAATTGTGGTTTCGTCTGCTAGAGGGAACTCTATTGCTCCTTGGTGGACTTATGATTGTTCGAGGGATTATAGAGCTGTAAGGCAGCCTGGAGAAAGTTGCTGTATAATTAGTGCCCTAAGAATTGGAAAGACTATCAGTTCTGCGCAGGTATACTTTTGAATGAACAGCTTCGAAAGCAGTGGTGCGATTTTGCATGTGTTCCAAATTTGGAAGGAGGTGTTACGTTCGTTACCTCAAAAAGTGGGCGGTCCGCATTGGTTGCAAGGACAAAGGGAAGTGAACAGCAAATGAGGGAAATAGAAGCCTGCATCACAATTTTGACATCGGCTTGGGGAACGTATAGCAAGTGGAGAAGTGTTTCTAACGTGTTGAGGAATGTTTAACTATAATTGCTCACTACTAAAATGTGTTGGTGCTAATTTTGAGACATTGAATAGGGAACACGGCACAATCAAAACATATTTTCTCTGTTATTGTTTTGAAGTGATGCTAGGTGGTGCGGCCATTTATCAGGACGTTTAGTGGTGGTGCTAGGTACAACCCTGTTTCAAGCAATCACTCTACTCGTGTCTCCCCCACTATTAAATTCTAACGGCGCAACTTTTGGAGCCGTTGGCTCAGTTAAGCGAAATCATGGTGGAGGCCACCTCTATCGGTAGCCAAAACGGGCATCTTCTCTGCATTTTCGAGGCTCAATGCGCGATGGTGTTCGCGTGCATGGAAGAGCATCCCCAGCTCGCGGCGAAAGAGATTAAGCTGGGGAACGGCTGCACCATCACCGACCGATGGTGACTGTGACAGGAGCTAAGTGACGCGCCTAACCATGAAGGACCTGACCAGAAAAAAAAATTCACAGCATATCCACGAAGTGATTGGTGATGAGTGGGGCGAAACCTTAAAATATTTCACCGGTAAACCGTGAATCCTCCGTCTGTTCGTCCGTCTATCCATCAGTCCGTCTCTCCATGAGAACGGACACAGGTGGACGGACGGGGTGGCTACGACAACGGAGGAGGTACTGAGCCACAGCGTAAGGACATGAGGCCCACGACGCTGCCGCCGCTATCAACAATGCACAAACTTGAGTGACAGTTGAGTCGAATGGTCTGGACGATTTGTTCTTTGACATTGGTGTATATTTCCAGGCCACTGGCTCTCTGGCATCTAATGATAGGGTTAAGTTCGTCGCACAAGCTATGCACTGTCTATTTCTACTGAAGAAAGTATTGTTGGAACTCTTTCAGTAAACTGTTCAAATGTATCATTCATCTTGCTTCGTCATCTCTGCTCAGCTACAGAAGCCGCGCAGGCAAGACGAAAAACCATGGCAGAGAAAGGAAACGCCACGTTATAAAGTGTTCGTACACTAAAAAGGTGCGAAACACTTACATTGTAATCCAATCCATGCTTCCTCGCAGCCATTTCACTCCATCCTTTTCATTTCGGACGGTCCCTCCAACTGTTCCTTTGCCTCCATCCGAAAAACGAATAAAAAGAGACACTTGACACATTGGCTCATGAGACATACCTCGAGCGTCATGTCATTCGTCACGGCTTAAATAGGCCAATCGCGTGCCACTCAATGTAACAGAACCCCTCCATCCGAATTTGGAGCGTGCACAAGACTGCACAACAGAAGAAACCCCAAATCGAACGATAAAAATCCACTATATGTTCGTCAAAAAGAAATTGATTCCACGGCCTATACATGCAGATTCTTTCATTTGGCTTTGCAAGAAATAAGAAACTTGGAAGTAATTGCCAAAAGGTTAGAGCATGGTTTTTCTTCACAATTATTACCTCCTTCATAAATGCATGCATTTATGAATAATTCACTGAAATTTCTGGGTCTGAATTGTCAAAGGTGTTACCTGCACTTCTGTCAGCGACTCCTGGCCCTGACGGAGTCACGACAGCTCTGTTGAAAGTGCTAAATAAGGGATGCCAAGATTATTTATTACATGTATTTAATTACTCTGTAAGAATGGCATTGCTCCCATCAAAGTGGAAGATTGCAAAAGTGATACCATTACTTAAAACTTCGGGTAAGGGATATGTTTTGGACAACATTAGGTCCATCGCACTAACTTCACACAGTCGAATCTCATTAATTCAAACACACTTAATTCGAACTTCTGGTTAATTCGAACTCATGATAAGGTCCCGTCAAAGCTATGTGTATTTCAATGGGCGAAAACGCCCGGTAATTCGAATGCGCAAGCACTTGCGACGGGTAGTTCGAACATACCGTGCTCGGAAAATGCTCTCAGCATCCCGCCCAATCCCACGGCGGCACCTGCGACACCTCAACGATGCGCACGAAGGAAATGAAAAGGAAAGAAAAAGCTGCGGTAAAATGTTTGCTTTCTCTCAAATGCCACTCTGCGATGCGCCCGTGTCACGCTTCTCCCTTTTTTGTCTCTGCCACGTAAAGACCCTTCTCCATCCAACACGCGAAGAGAGGGAGGGAAAAAAAGCTGTCGCTGGGTTGAATGAATGTGTGGTTGAAGGAAAGCAAAAAGGCACTATCTTCTGCACCTTGTGGCAGCACGGCTCTGCGCCTTGAAAGGAGGGGGAGGGCGGCCTCTCATGCGTCATGCGCCCTTGCCACGTCTCCCTCTTCTTTCCCGTCCCTGCCATGTAACCCTTCTCCTTTCAACGACGCACGTGAAGATAGGGAAAAAAAAAGGAAAAAAAAAGCTGCCGTGGAGTGTTGGTTTTCTCTCAAATGCCGATCTGCTTCTCTCCGCGTGGAGAGGCTCCTCCTTTCTCGTCACGTGCTGGCCATGCTGCCGCTGTGTAGCGGAGAGACTACGCAGTCGTTGTTGTCGTCTTTAGGAAGTGTCGGCGCTGGACATTTCTGCACGCAAATTCTCTTGCCAGGAGAATGCTGAAGCCGAAGTAGACATGCTTAGCAAGCTGCGTGCAGAATTAATTTACTTGCTGCAAGGCAAACCTGGGCAGATGCGCATCACCGGAAACTTCAATTAATGACGGATGTCCTGTGATTTGTGAATAAATGTAAATCTTCTAAAACTTCTTCCTCGTGTGTTAGCTCAATGCACATGTGCCACTGCATGAAGAGCCCTCGGTTTATTTAGTTTTCATTAATTCGAACAAGTTTTTGGGCCCCTTCGAGTTACAATTATCGAGATTCGACTGTATTTGCCAACTTGATCTATATGGCCTATAAATATTCCTATAAATATTCCTATAATTATGGCCTATAAATATTCGCATTAACAATTTTATTAATGACCACAAAATGACAAGTCTATCCCAAATTGGCTTCATAGCAGGATTCTCTATTTGACAGGCCCATGTAGACTTTAAGAGTCACATTTTTGAATAGCTAGGCATGAAAGGAAATATGCTG